TCGTAGAATTTTGTGTTTCAACCTTGACTGCCAAGGGGATATTTTGTTTAAGTTCTCAGCTCTAGGACGACAACCTAAGAAGACCAGAGAGCTCGTCCAGCCGATGAGATAGTTCAGATGGGGATTAGATTCATATATCTACGGTTAAAGAGTTCATAACTGAGTATTGTATTCAGTGGGGTAGCATATGCGTATAGACATGGCACTGACTATACTAATTTTTTACTTAGTATACGTCACAGTGATCATTACCAGGTGGGATATCATACTTTAATATTGAGGGTCATTCCAAAGAAGGAAAATAGAAAGAAAGAGGAAATAGAAAAAATTAAAATTTAATATTTAAAGTTAAATAATTTAAAAGAGACTTAAAATGAAATCAAAAAAAGAAAAAAAATGTAATTTAAAATGGTATAAAATTTACGATTCCTTAGATGTTGAGAGGACGGCACAAGTTGTCATTCCACCAATGTTGAACTTTCCGACACCAAGACAGTGATAGATATCAAGTTTGGCAGAAAAGCTATCAAACAATACATTAAACAAAGAGGTAGAGACAAAGAAAAGAAAAAAAAATATATTTCGGTCATTTCTCAATCTGCTAGACACAAAAAGATAAATTTTTAATTTTCACTAAAAAAGAAGTCAGTGAAAAAGCAGAACATCGTCAGATTAGTATACCTGTAGCCATATACAAAAAAAATCAGTCAATATGATCCCTACCCATGCGAATACACACACATGTACATATATATATATATATATATATATATATATATATATATATATATATATATATATATATATATATATTAAGAAATGGACAAATTCCGACAATTTATTTATTAAAGACATTTTTATGTTTAACGTTCTTTTTTATAGATACAAGTATTTAAGTAAATGTTCTGTTTATAATAAACAGTATTAAATAACATTCAATCCGGTAAATGTTATTTAATACTGTTTATTATAAACAGAGCATTTACTTAAATACTTGTATCTATAAAAAGAACGTTAAACATAAAATGTCTTTATTAAATATATATATATATATATATATATATATATAGAGAGAGAGAGAGAGAGACAGACAGACAGAGAGAGAGATATATATAGAGAGAATACTTTAGACTTTTATCTCATAGCTGTTTACATAATGCCATTAAATCAGTAACTGTATTATTATTATTATTATTATTATAATAATATTTTTTTTGTTATTTCCTTATATATTTCTTGTTCATCCATCTTTTCTCCTTCATTGTTTTTTTTTTTCTAATTCTCTTTCTTCTTATTATTGGTTAGCGGTTTTTGTTCTATAGATTCACTTACGAGTAGTAGAAGAAGCAAATGTTTTTGTTTTTTTTCACTGGTATATTGCTTAATAAACTTTAGAAAGCGTTAGATTGTTTATTGGCTTGGTTGGTTTGTTTTGTTTTACGGCATATCAACTTCAATGGTTCATTTAATGCCGACAACATTTTTCCTGGTAATATTTTTGTTTTGTCAAAAATTTATTTCTGGTAATAATTTTTTACTCAAAATTGTATAGTTATTAATATTATTTTAAAATTGTATTGCTGCTAATATTTCTTTTTCAAACACGTATTGCTGGTAATAGTTCTTTTCGTCAAAAATTTATTTCTGGTAATAATCTTTTACAATATATTTCTGGTAGCAAAACCTATTTTTATACTTTCATAATGCTTTTTACCTCAATTTCGGAGTTAACTATTTGTTTATAGCTGGGACCCTAACAGGTGCTACCACTCTGGGTCAGGGTGGATCTGGGAATAGCATCACTTAAGAGGTGGTTTTCTCGCTCCTCAAAGCCTCCTGATCAGTCCTTGCTGTTGGACGTAGTTATCATCTGGAGGCGGATGTAATTTATCGTCATACACAGGACGGGTTAGTTTTGTCCATAATGCCATTAAACGTATAAATTATTATTATTATTGTTATTACCATCATCATTATTATTATTATTTTTATTATTATTTCCTTTGATTTCTGGCATTACTTTCCGGGTCCTTTACAGGAACCTAAGGTTAGAAAATGGTATCATGACACTTTCCTCTGAAATATATATATATATATATATATATATATATATATATATATATATATATATATATTACATAGAAAAAGCCCTTCGTTAAGTGTGGGCTCTCCTTTTCAGAACAATTTTTTTTATCTCTTTGAGGCATGGACTTCCAGGAATCCCTTCAATTTATCTACTGGAATCTTTTCCTACCAATCCTAGGGCTTTAACTACAACAGGGATTGTTGATGTTCCCATGTGACACATTTTTTAGATTATTATTATTATTATTATTATTATAGTCATTATAATACATGAAAATTTTTCATTTTAATAGTGCTGGTGTCCTCTATGTGATAGACAAATTTATAGCCGTCCTACATTAGAATCTTTCTTCTCGGCTGACCGAATATTATATAAGATTCTCAAACCATCCACATATTTTTTATTCGCTAGACGACCAGAATAGCCACTCATTCCTTAGTTTCTCTTTTCTCTCTATTGTTCTTTGCATTCTTTCCAAAGTTCTCAAGAGGCACGACCCATGGAGTCTCAGAGCAATAAAAAAAAACACACACACACACAAATGAAAAGAAAAGAAGACATAAATTATACCGGAGATTTATTACTTCACAAATTAAAAACGAAACAAAAGAAATGAAGCGGAGCTGAAAGTAACGTAGGCCGTTGCCATCCGTTGCCATTTTGTCTGGTTGTGATCAAGACAATTGTTAGAACATTCTTCACTGCGTCAAAGCGTCGATCTTTGTAGAAAGTTTGGATCATATGTTCAGGGATGATAAAGCTGCACCCTTTTCTGTTTCTCTGTACTCTTTTTTTTGTATGTGTGGTGGGGACGGACACTAAATAGACTGCTAGCATTCAAGTTCAGAATATTTCACATATATCTTTATTTTTGACATTAGCTCCTTTGATAATGATTCATTTAAAAGCTCACTAGGAAGACGTTGGTTATCTTGCTGGACGTCATAATGGCTTTATCACAATTTCTGTAACAAAGTATAAAAACGAACAAGTACATTCAAGGAGGAAGATTTTGTTGATAGTGACTCTTAAGAAGCAGCCTTTACTGCAAAAGAAAACCATATTTCAACATTTTGTTTATTGTCTTCTAACATTAAAATGTCTGTTTCACAAATGACTTACGATGATTCTTTAAGGCTTGTTTTCGTTTAATATTAAAATGTATCATATACAAGGCACAAGATCAACTCGTGGTAGAGAATTATAGATTGAGGTGTGCCTGATATGCATGTAAGAGGAGATAGATGGAAGTGAAAATTATAAGGAGACATATATCGACACTTGATATGAAGTAGTTAATTTTGTAGTGTTTAGTGAAGCATCCCCACGCGAGTTAGTGCCACAGAATAGCAGTTCTCATGTATAAGAGATCTGAACGTAACTTCCTCGTTAAACATGTAAAACAGTAAATATGGATGTAACTTGGCGTATCTTACCAGTAAAATCTGATTTTGTTTGATTGTTTAGCGGCACATTAACTCCTCATGGATCATTTAATGCTGAATTTTAATTTTCTTTTACATACATGTATTGCTAGTAATTTTCTTTTCCTTTTTTTTTTTTCAAAACATATTGCTTGTAATTTTTTTTTCAAAAATATATTACTCATAATTTTTTATTATGAAAATATATTACTGGTATTTTTACTATAAAAATCTATTTCTATACTTTAATAATGATTTGACCTCAGTTTGGGAGTTAACTATTTAACCCTAGCTGGGTTCGTAAAAGATGCTACCATCCCGATTCAGCGTGGACCTTGGAACAACAGCAATTAAGAGGTGGTTCCACAGTCCTCAAAACATCCTGGTCAGAGGCCTTGCTGTCGGAGGTAATCTACCGTCATACACAAGCCGATGTAAAACCTGAACTGGTAGAACTAAAAAGTGTGGCTCCTCTGAGAAAATAAAGGAAAAATTAGTGGAACATAAGCTATCTATGACAAGAATACCTAAATTATTTTGAATTCTGTTAAGTGAAATTAGGGTTGATCCAGATAGGACATTCCAGCAATATTCCATATTTCAAATAAAACACTGTGTAAATATTTCAAATATAAACAGATATTGTAACATAATATTCACATGGTATGTTTATATTAAAAAAATAAATATATCCTCAAACTTTTAATAATATCATTTGATTATAACCAATTTGATTATGAAAATATCAAAGTGAATAAAATAACTGATACACATACGTAAAAAAGAAACCCTGTAAATTCATTCATTACCTTTTTACTGTGCATAAAATTCTTGGATTTAATAAAGAGCTTATTGATTTTCTTATTTTGTAGATTTTGGACACTTTAAATTAATAGCCACAAAAAGGTACAATAAAAGTAATTTGGGTATCAGTGTTTAAATATTTCAGGGCTGTTTCAGTGACGCAACATCTATCAGTATTGAAAATGAATTTGTTGAACGGACTTCAAAATCCCGTTGAAGCTGAAAAGTTTATTTTGTACTGATGATATAAATTTGTCTTTTTCCACTTACAGGTAAAATCGTATAGTAGACTGAGTTATTTAGCATTTGTGGTGCAGCTAGTTTAGAAAATCTCTGAATTTCAAGCAGTGAAAAAGACAGCAGAAACGATACTACTATTTGTTGCAAGAATAGTCATAGGAAAGGAAAATGCAAAGTGTCAAGTTCGCCGAGACAATAAGGAAGAACATAGACTTAAAATAAACCTAAATCATTCCTGTTTACTTTTCGTTATTTACCTTCTGAGTTCATTAAAATAATTTTTGTTTCAAAAAGGATTTTGATTTGAAATAGCGGTGAGTTTTGTTTGATAGCTTAGTTTCCTTTATTCTTAAGGAAATGGATGATCACGGCTCTTGCGAAAATCACTTTCCAAACCATCTCTCTTATTTGCAGCTGTAAACAACATTAGGCGAATTTAGTTAGTTTACGGCCACATCTCGTTGAAACACCAGTTTTTGTCCGATCACCGAAGTTAAGCTACGTCGAGATTGGTCAGTACCTCAATGGGTAATCGTTTAAGAATACCAGGTGCTATAAACTTAGATATGCAGGCGATGCAATGGATAATGGCTCGAGGTGGGTAATCTGAGAAGTTGGGATCGTTTCATTCACTTACGCAAATCATGGTCCTCAAAGCGTGTCACATCAGGCCCTGACAATAGCCATTTGGCCAGCAGGGTAGATAATAGCCCTTTCCTGTATCTGGGGAAGGCCTACGTCTAACAAGGAATTTTCTCATGGTGAGAAGAATTTATGGCTTCAAACCTTGTTGTGATATCTAATGTCAAAGTTTGTATAAGACACCCAGTGAGGATCAGACTCTCTGCTCAATAGTAATGGGAAATGTTGGTTGATCTTATGACCTGTCAAAAGGTCTTAGCTTAACCCATTACCTGCCATGAACCCCATTTGGGGATCTGTTAAAATTAACATGTTATTCCCTGTATTTACATTGATTTGCAGAGGTATATTTTACAATACTAAGCCTTTAATTTTTTATTATTAGCCGTAAGAAAACACTTTCTGTCGTAATTTTACATTTGACGAGTAGAAAAATAATGACTATTTTGAAAAGTATTTTTTAATTATTTCTAATCAATATTATTTTTTACTTTTTACACACACACACACACACACATATATATATATATATATATATATATATATATATATATATATATATATATATATATATATTTGATATTTTAGTTTCTATGAAAACGACAATTGTAACTACTGAAATTAAAGATAAGGAATAAATAAACTCCTAATACAACCGTCTGGGCCAAAAATGCTCATAAAAAGATTTGGCAGTTAATGTGTTAATGTCGAATGTTTTCTTGCAGGCGGGGGTTGAGTAAATTACAATGATTGGTCTAACCAAGTTTCAAGCCAACGAATAGCCATCTTCCGCTTTTCGATATCGATGATGTTTCGAAAAGAAATACACAAAACGAATTAAATACATCTGTGCAGTGTCCCCTTAGAATGTGAGCGCTATTTGCTTTCAGTAGTAATTATTCATTTGCGTCTGCTTTTTATATTTGTGTTTGTAGCATTCCTGCCTGTTGCTGTTTTGTATTTCTCTTGGCGTCGATACTCACCGTGATACGTGTATTTTCATGACCCATTTTTGTCTTTGTGTACCTCTATCTTTTATACATTTGCTAAGAATTATCTGTTAGGTAATTCCCACTTTCGTCTGCTTCTCTTGATTTTGGTAGGAACTGCGAGTTAAATTACTCAAGCCTTAATCTCTCTTCTGCTAAAATCACCGAAGCCTTCAATTCTCTTCTGAAAAAGGATGGTTATACAAAAAGACAGATTAGAACATTAGTCCGAATGTAAATAATCACTACTCAGGAGTTGTGTACAGGCAATTTAGCTTGTTAACTATCACCCCTACGTCAAGGCACATTTTATTGTTCGGGTTTCTCTAGCTATGTTTCTGAATTAAGTTTTGTGCTTCTGTTGCCTCAATCTAACAAACACTTTTTGGACGATGCATTTAAAAACAATCATCTTTTAGTGCGCTTTTGTAGCTACTCCCATCGTCCATTCTCACGTGTATGTGTTCTTACTCTCTTGCCAATACATCCATATGTACATTCTGTTTCCTCTGAAAAAGGCAAACAGGTTTCTCTTATTACCAAACTAACAACAATCTCTTCGAAGTAAGAAAAACAACGCGACACATTACGGCATCGTTCGATAAAGGAATACATTAACAAAGATTCTAAGCAAACGACACTTAGAAGATAAAAGTATGGGGTGTCGTGAACATGATTAAACAAGGATTTCGGAGAAGGACGCTAGTTTGAACATGTGGCAAACAAAGTAACAGAGGAAGTAAGTATAGTTTAAAGTGGTAAAACAGAAGAAAAGTTAGCTTTATGCAAATAGTTTTATCCATATGGCAGGATAAATGTCGATATGTTTCTATTATATTTGTAAATGGATCATAGGATGTTTTTGTTTGTTTTTTCTTTCAAAGAATGTTGTCTGTTTTATTCAAAATGGGGACAGCACAATTTATCGCGGGAATATTTTGGAAAATAAGCAAGTGTGAATAAAATACAGGTAGTGAATAATGCGCGTTCATTTTATTATAAGATAAAAGTTGGAACTGAATTGTGTGTGTGTGCGCGTGTGTGTGCAGAATGTTAAGAGATACGAGGAAAGATTGCCTTCGCATTGAGACATCTGAGTAATATGAGTTTAATTAATATTGGCGGGAAGGCATAAAAAGAGAACAATATGGAGATATTTTAATTCCCAAACAAAAGAAAGCGACAAAGTAAGAAACGGCGGAGTTCATTTGTAAAAGTTCTTTAGTAGCAGGCGCTGAGATACAACCATCCATCCAGGAATAAGACTCCACATCTGCAAAGCAACCTTGTAATAGTCCCTTGCATATACGTACCTACAACGGCCAACTAATCTACGAGTATTGTTTTGTGCTATGAAATATTTAGTTTCTCATTTGACATAGACTACATACCAGTCATTTCATTTTGTTTCTACACAACGTGTTGGCATATTTTATATCAATAAGAGACTTATGGATTGTGTGTGATATCCATTCTCTTATATGGCAGGGAGTGATGAACACTCTTCCCACTGATGAGGAGGAAACTGAAAGTAACAGAAATGTTGTTCGGCAGAAGAATACTGAGAATTCCATGAACGGAGCTACGAAGCAAAGAGAAAGATTTAAAGAAAATAGAAACAAAAAGAATACTTACACTCAGAATCGGGAAGAGAGAGCTGAAATTCCTTGGAGGCATAATGAGGAAAGGGAGCTTGTAAAAGTTAATTCTCACAGGATATATTGAGAGAAAGGGAGCTAGGGGAAGGCAGGCGACGTCCTACCTGGTGTGCTTTTGCGAATAGATGACGGAATGGAAGAGCGGCGCTTTAGTTAAAAAGTGAAAAGAATACCGGATAGAAAGAGTTGGAGAACCATGAGTGCCCACGTCCTGAAAGGGTCGCAGCACATGAAATAATAATAATAATAATAATGATAATAATAATAATAGTAATAATAATAGTAATAATAAGAAGAAGAACAACAACAAGGTGGAGAAGAAGAAAAGTAGAATATAGTAATGGTTTACAGCCATGATGACAACGTTCCACAATCTTTATCCGACCAAAACTTCACGCACACACGCGCTATATATATATATATATATATATATATATATATATATATATATATATATATATTATCTCAAATAAGAGAAAGGACGAATGGAGTAAAAATCCACAGTTTGCAGCATTTAGTTTTTAAAAAAGTACTCAATACAAAGTAGAGCAAAATATTATAATCATATTTTTATGATAAGAGAATATAATAAAGACATTTGAATTGCTACACGAAAGCTTTTATGTTTCAATATTATGACAGTACTTCCTTTGATGAGGAAGTACAATCATAGTATTGAAACATGAAAGGAGTTTGAACCGGGCGATAGGTAAAGCTATATGAGGGAATGCTGAACACTTATCGCCTTGACCTATTTCTAAAAAAAACGTATACTTATTTTTGTCCACTGTATTACTGATTTGAGAAAATGGTTCATGCAGAACGGTTCAAGATTCCATTGTAAAGGCTAAACACAGTCTAAGCACATAGAAACATATTTTTAATGTCCTACGATCAGACATTCAATAATCTGTCTTGTGTTACTCCGGGTTTTTGCTTTGATTTTTTCAACTTCTTTCCGGTGAAATATGAGTTTATTCTTACGAAATAACACTAATAACTAAATCAATTATTATTATTGGATTGTATCTCTATGTTCACACAGGTGCTTCATGGTTGTCTACCCAAGTCCCAGGCACATTCTTCACCGCTCTTGCCGATCCCATAAAACAACCATGGTCTGGTGAATTTCGTCCCTTGGTTAAAAATCTAATTTCCCTTCACTTGGTTTTGCGATGGCTAATTCATATTTCACAGCTATCGGTCATAGCCATATTTTTTTTACACCACATCCACCGTCAGACAGAATCTCTGAATTCTTAAAGTGAATAGTTACCATTATATCGGCACGCAGATTATTGTCACCGTCTTTGCTGTTATCACAACATTTCAGCCCTGGCGCTGCAATGCTTTCATCAAGTGATTGCCAATCCGGATATTTTCTAACTAAACACTTTATTCAATTAACGGAGGTAGATTATTCTCGTCCCACTGTCAAATCGTACGTATATCTCTTCTAGTTCTTATTTGGTATTACTCAGATATCTTTCACTGCATTACCACCGAGCCGAACTACACATGACTAGCGTAGATATTAAACTCGCAAATACTGTGTCAACAAATTCAGGGATCAACTCTTTAATCCACTAAGTAAATAGTTTAATATCAGCAAATAGAACTATTCTCTTTGACCTTAGTTTGATGAACTATTGACCTAAAGATTTTAGGAAATTTATATATCTTAAGTATTAGGACAGCTTTAAATGAATTTAATAAATGCACAAAAATAGAAATGGCGTATGACAATGATATATATTCTCGCCAGATTTATTCAAGCAATCCTGAGAGAATAAGACATCGTACAAGGCTTCATTATTGGCTACTACAATGATAATAACATTACATTTGCAGATGACACAGGTTTGATAGCAGTCAGAGAATGAAAATTTCAGCATTTCGTACAGAAAATAGTAAAGGAAAAAGATTTAAAAAAGGAGTAAACATCAATTTTAAAATGATTGAATGCCATCTGCCATTAAAAATATATATACACATTTTCAAAGGGTTATAGCATATAAGAGAAAAAAAAGGATTCGACTGAAATTCGAACTTATCTCTTCGATTCCTCAAGCCGAGCCACTATCCATTATTCCACCGTGCCTCCTTAGAAAGGTATGAGTACTCTTCTCCCCCACCCAGTTATGAGGAAATAGCTGGACAGACTAGGTAATATGGCCTTGGATAGAAACTGATCTAGGAGAAGGACTGAATTCAAGAACTGAAGAGATTCGTTTTGGTGACCTTTGTGGCGCATTGGTGCACCAGG